ATACTTTGTTTTTTGATACTTCAATTCATTCTATTCCTAATTGTCAGTTGTCTATATTAATATATTTTCCCCGTTTACCTGGTCTTTTTTCTTATTACTACAACAGATATTATCTTCTACTTTTTCCTGTAAAGTTAAGAATTGTATTATATTCATAATCTTAAATTATGAATATAGACAATAAATATTCAAACAAACAGCAGGGCGAATTTAGGAGAGTGCTGCTTATACGCCAGTAGTTTTTAAGTTTCTTGCCAGTTCTTAATTGAATCTTGATACTGAACTGGACGCTAGAGAAAAAACATTAATATAAAAAATTTGACATTAAGAAGCGGCTAATATTTTTTTATTTGATTTGAGTAAAACTGGTAATGGAATTTGAAACACACGAGAATATAACCCTCATAAAGTACAATATATGATTGTCAAAAATATTATTTATTCTCATAAACAACAAGTCTTAAAATATATATATATATCAACTTTCTCGAACAAACAGGAAAATTGTTAATTAAAGAAAAAAGAGACAGAAAGCCTCAAATCCAATTAAATGAAAAATAATTTATTTACGTAGGATATTATAGTTATAGCTTATACGGTAACAATGTTAATACAAAAATGTGACGTTCATAAACCGAAAAAATTGTTTTTTTATGTGATTTAATTTATCAAGTTTCTTATGTTGATAGTTTTTAACTAAAGTTCATTTCAATACAGCTTCTGTTCTTACATACAATTCTCGCTTCACTCACGTTCAAGTAACTGGATAATCCAAATGTAGAAATTAATAATTTAATAATTAAAGCTACATTTCAAGATCCTGTTATATCGCTAACCGGATTATATGATACAACGGCGTTCAAGAACAATGCGTGCTATCGGATATTACCGCGCGCGTCCGGTTGAAATGACCATAGAGCAGGAAGCTGCGATGCTGCCAACCGTGATAATTAACGACGACTGACGCTACCATAGATACACTTGGAAATATAGATTTATGCTTCGAAATTGTAATACAGGTTGATTGATAGATACGAGTAGGTACATCGATTCTAAGAAAAAATATTTGCCGGATATTCAATTAAATTAACTTTATTATAAACCTCGGAATAGCGATAATCTGTAAAAACACAGGGTAGCTTAGTCCTTAGGAATAAAGCGCATAGGTAGTAAGTGTTCGAGCTGAACCTACGGTTTTTTTTTTTGTATGTGATAATGGAATGGTGCATCCGCCTGCGCTAACGGTTTACGCTGGCGGGGCACCAGTGGAGGGTGATAATATGAGCATGAGGTCAGGTCAGTTAGCCCAACGTGACAAATTCACCAGGAATTTGACAAGGTTCCAGGGGGAATCGCGTGGAGGTCAACCTGACATGGTCCATTGATAGTAATGGGTTCATTAGTCCACATTACTAACAATCCCATTTCCCCCTGAACCTACGGTTACTTTTACCATCGCACCGCTCGCCATCGACAGGGAATTCATACCAACAAGCAGGAATATAGGTGGTCTCGGACAGTGCTGTTTAAGAGGAGCTTCCTCCCGCGTACACTTACATTATGGAATAAGCTACCTGCCGAGGTTTTGTAGATAACAGCTTGGGACTTTTAAAGAAGGGTAAATTAAGATTTCTTAAGGGCACACTCTACTGCAACGTGCACGTCACACCACTGGTGTTTCTGATGTCCTAATGCTACTGTAACCGTTTACCATCAAAAGCCGTATGCTAGTTTATCACCATCGTAGTATAAGAGAATATTATCAAAAGAATATCACATGCATCACAAAATCATTTCATTTGTATCTATATAGATTACAGTTAACGAGTTTGATTGACAAAATTTGTTAGCTTGTTTTCCTTTAAAAAATACCGCATTAAAATCTGCTATGCGAACAGAACAGAACAGAACAGAGGAAGAGACTTCATTTTATACTCTGTAAAATTGTATTCACTGCATGTGCAAAATGTTTTTATCAAAACTTTGCTAATGTCACTGTATTATAATGTTAGAAAATCTTTTCGAGTCTCCAACTCGATATCAAGATTCGGTCTTCGCAATTTGCCGTAACGACCGGTACAAATTAAATTTTATCTGATTGTGGGCCCACTCGTAAAGTCTGTATAATGGCCCTCTTCTACATTAGGCCACTCGTCCATCTGAGGGACGAATTTTTAAGGGTCAAAGGCATTATTAGAATGCGGAGCCCGGACAATTTTGCTTTGGCTATATATACAGTGAAATTGTGAAATCACGTGGAAATACAAGCTATTTGAGGCAATTTATCGAGGTGTCGGTGGGTACAGCAGACATTAAACAGGTTGATAATGATGTTGAAAGTGCTATGAAATATATAAAATAAAAATCTTCAGCATTTGATTTGATCTTTCGACAGTTTGTGGGTATGGATTGATATATGTTTGTTACTGTTTCACGCAAAAACTATGAACGTATTTTTATGAAACTTTACAGTAATAATAATAATAATAATAATATCTCAGGACAATTCACACAGCGCCATCTAGACCCAAGTTAAGCTAGCTAAAGCTTGTGTTATGGGTAGACTGATACAAATATGTACATAATATAATACCCAGACCGATACAAACAATCATACTCACGAATACAAATGTTTGTGCTGTGCGAGGAATCGAAACCGCGACCGTCGGACGTAAAGCGGTTAGCGGTGCTTCACCGCTAGACCACCGAGGTTGTCAACCACTTACACATGAGAATAATAATACAATAACAATTTAAAAAGATATTAAAAATATAATGGGGTGAAATATAATGATAACTGTCAAGTAAGCATGATGCATATTAAGTCAGATATTATGTCAGCTAGTATAAAATAAAATTCTTTATTCTCGAACGTCCATTATTTGATTTGATCAACATGTTCGACCATTAATAATAATATTGTGATGACTTAACTTCAACTTAATTACAGCAGTCGTGTAAGCTTAATTCATCCATGTAGAAGAAGCCTATTAGCCATTTCAGAATTATTTCCTTTCACTTGGAATACTTGACTAAAAATTTTGAAAATCCATAGACAACAAAGCCATTATCGCGTTGCTGTAATGAAGTTATAACGAGTTAATTCGACAAAGGATGACAAATCTGATAATGTACCACTAAGCTTTTAAGATGTTTTCGTCAATTAAAAGATTTTCTCTAGCACTTAGCTGCTTTTAAACTAAATGACAGATTCTGATAATCAAGTTAAACATTAAAGACGCCATTTTGGTTATAATGGCGCGAAAGTTGAGTGCACATACATACCTATCAAAATTTATTTACTTCAATTACGGATGATGACCACTCTACGGGCACTTCAATGTTCTAATTTAAATAATCATTATATAAAAACATGGACGAAAAAGAAATAAATCGATTACTCCAAGTGTTCTCGATGTAGGTATATATTGACCGGAAACGATTACCTTTTTTCTTATAGCTACGGTGATTTGGGAAACTACAGATTTCTTTGCCATCAAAAATACACACTCTATATCACATAGATATAGAGGGCCCAGGTTTATGTCATCAAAAACATTTTTTTTTTTGCATTACACTGTGCAACTACTTTTTGTTAATTAAGTCTGAAAATTTCGTCCTCTTATAGTAGTATTAACTATCAAACGATTTTTTTTAATTTTGGATAATGGAATGGAGCATCTACCTGCTCTAGCAGTCTAGCATGAATTCACGTTATTGATCACGATGATTTCCAGTAGAACCACGAGGTCGACTAGTCATGGTACATGCGATGGGACTGATGGCACAAACATCCATCAAATCTCGCATTGAACATTAAACCAAACGAAGTCCATATAGTAGATACTTAATTGTCCCAATGAACTGAATCCAATATGCTCGTATCTGCCAAAAGCTTAGTTTTAATTAAGATTTATGTAGCCGGGCTGGCAATTAACTAGTGTTGGATTTGGCATCTAACTGCTTTATGAAATACATCATGAAAACACACTCAAAATGCAAATATCTAAAGGTTGTCCAAAATTTTTGCAGATTGTGCACAGAGTATTCAACGTTGCCAGTGACCTGCGCAGATTGTGCACAGAGTATTCAACGTAACCAGAGACCTGTGCAGATTGTGCACAGAGTTTTCAACTGACTCCGTTAAGAAATAAATTCTCAATAGTATGATATTGTTTTATGGATGTTAATGGAATGATGAACCTGCCTGGGCTAACGGCTTACTCTGATAAGGCACCAGTAGAGGATAATAAGATAAACACGAAGTCAAATCTGTTAGCCCATCTTGAAAAATGTCAATTTACCATGGTTGGTAATGGTTTCCAGGGGTACATTACCAGTAATGAGACTATTAGTTCACATTACTAATAATCCCTTCCTGTCCATCCTGGGAAGGGGATCGTTAGTAATGTGGACTGATGATATGATTGCTAACAATATACCATGTCAGGTTGACCTCCACGCGTCCTAGAAAACATCGTGATAAATTCTTAGTGAATTTGTCACGATGGGTTAACTGACCTGATCTCATCTTCATTTTATCATCCTCTACTGGTGCCCCATTAACATGTTTAAAAAAATCCCCTTCTCCAATACTATGGTATTTTTCCAACACTTTTTTTTAACAGTTTGAAACGTATTAATCTTTATTGAGTATACTGTTAATATTTAAAAAATTTGGTAATTATTTTCTTCTTTCGTATGTTATAATAACATAAACGTAAGGACTTGGCGGGAAACCTGTATTAAAATATGATCACGTGACCAACGACAAAAATACGATTTATGAAAAAGTCTTTTTCAACCTTTTATAAATATGAAATTAACGTACATACCTGTATTTAAATGGAATATATATTTTTCTCAATTGTAAAAAGAGTCAAGGAAAAACAAATTACTTAAAAGAAAAAATAAGCCGCTTTACGTTGTTTCTGAGCGATTTTCGATTCGGCGGTCGCCATGACAACGCATTATAAAAACAAAACACCGTGCTTACAAATATACTTTTTATGTCGTTATTTCCTATAGAAAATGTCGAAAAGTAAAACAAATGCTGTGTGGGAGGACAGAGAGGTCCTATTCGATCTCCCTTTTTCGTAAGAATTTTTTTCTGTTCTTTCTATCTCAATATTTTATCCTAAATTCCAGATTTGGGAATAATGTTTTCGCTGTAAAAAAAAACAGGTGTCATAGACAAAAGAATAGGTTATATATTTGAATATTTAATTTCTCAATACGATAATATTAAAAATAATAAATTCTAATTTGTGTGTTTGTGCGTCTGGTATCTAATATGTTCTACATTATTATAGTAAAAATAAGAACCTCAACAACTTTTACCCAATTAAATTGAAATCCATAACTCGCTGTTCCAAAGTATCGTTTAGAAAAATATATGTACTTAATTAGGTATTCTGTAGGAATACAATGGGAATTAAATATAACAATGATATTCTGAAGAATGTATTCGTAGGTACCTTTTGTATATTTCTTTCAATAATAATTGCTAATCACTGCTTACCTATGTATCGTGTAAGAACGTATTTTTTTTGTATATATTCAAAAGAAATACTTAACCAATATTAAAATCTCCCGCCTTGTAGAAAATGGAGGATCTGAAGATCAGGAGCGTTGGTACTTATTGAATGAAATACAGTTATGGTTACAACCGTATATTGATCTAAGCGTGCATATAATTTTTTTTTTTTGGACTACTCTAATGTTCTGTACAAAAGTATTGGGCGCAGCTGGCCTTTTCAGCTTCACCGGACGATAGGGGGCGAGTGCAGATGGCACTCCAAACCCGCGGAAGGACTTGTGGAGCGACTGAAGGCCAACTCACGCCTGACGGATACAACTATAGTCCGAGGGCACCGCTAGGTTCAAACCTCGGCTCAGGCCGTCGTAACATCGCTCCCGGTTTGAATTGGACGGGGGATCGATCGGAGGCTCATATAAAAAAAATTACATGCTACGATTTGTCGTTACCAATTCCGTAACTATCAATTGCTGAACCTACTATTTGTATGGCTTTGTGTGAATATGTGTGTGCGTGTGTGTGATTGTGTGTGTGTGAGTGAGTGTGTGTGTAAATTTACAAATTTACAAATAGTAATCTTTTAATAACTGCAACAGAGGTTGCAAGCATGCTGCTAACAGAATTCAGTGAGACTAATCAGGTATACCCACTATGACTTTGTACAATGATATCTGTATGTTTAGGTACCTTAAATTGAGACCCGGCGAAAAGATATTTGACAGAATCGAACCTATAGAAGACACGAAAGGCAACAGTGGCACTAAAGGAAGAATGGTGGTCACCAATCTAAGGATTATATGGCATTCATTGGCTTCGCCTAGAATCAATCTGTGTAAGTTTTTTTATCAATCAAAATCAAAATATCTTTATTTATGTAGTATTACAGACTCTTATGATATGTCAAATCCACCGTCAGTTTGGAGTGCTTTCGAATTAAGTAGAACTCATGAAACTCAACACTAATTCTTTTGAAACAAGTTTGTACATAATTACCATATCTGTGCTAGTGTAAACATAACGCATACAGCTATGACGCTCTCGTCATCCTACTGCGGCTGCGCGCCGTGCAATATTATGCATCTGTGGCGCGTTACGTTTGCGCGGGAAAATAAAAAGACTAATTTAATTGTTTTACACTATTCTACATAATTTTATATGTTTATAATTTTCTTTTATTTCAATATATGTACCTACTTTCCATATATATTACAATCCGAGTATAAATATTGCCGATACTAACAATTTATAAATTGAATTAGGGCGAATGTATTCACCACCAGCATATGCTATTGGATTTTTATCAGAAGGAAATAATTTAGGGTGCAGCCGTAATCCGAACAGAGCATTCCTCACAAGCAGCACCCGTTCACGAGATGAGACTCAAACCTATAGAGCAGCTGAAGGCCAATTGCCGCCTGACGGATACGACCTCAGTGTGGGGCCACCGCTAGGGGTTCGAACCTGGGTTCAGGCTATCGTAATTTCGATCCCCGTTTGAATTGGACGGGGGATCGATCGGAGGAGTCTCATAAAAAATGAATCGCTTATAAAAAAACATGTGTAGAATTGACTATGACTTTACTCTTGGTTTCAGCTATTGGTTTAAACTGCATATTGTCGACGACCACAAAAATTGTGAACTCAGGATTGAGAGGCACTACTCAAGCATTGTACGCGCTGGCCGCATACAAGATGAGCCGTTACGAATTCATATTCACGAATCTCTCGCCGAATTCTGTTAGACATTATACATCTGTCGTCGGGGTGCATAAGTAAGAGACATTTGAAATTTATACGTTTTAAATTTGATGCGGTTAAACGTAAAATTTAAAAAATTACATAACTTACTATGATTTATTTATAATTTTTGAGTTCCCGATATTTCGGCAGTGTTACAACCGCGAACATCACGGGTAAACTCAGGCGGGAACCTGTCTTCAGCCACTCTATATGTCCTTCCGCGGGTTTGTGTTGCCATCTTCGCTCGCCCCTATCGTGAGGTGAAGCTGAAAAGGCCAGCTGTGGCCAAGCATTAGAGTAGTCCGAAAAAAGGCGGGTAAACTGATGAGCAGGGCGTAGATGGAAAATAAATAAAATTATGGGCAGATATTATCGTTTAATCGTAGTAACAGAGTGGAAGGCATGACGTCTTAGACCTCTGGAATAGCTTTGCGGGTGTCACATGATGACGTGAGTGCTGTTCATGTATATAGGCGGTTACCAATTACCCGCTGACCGCCATATTGTTAATCCAAAATTATTAAAAAAACTAACTACTCGCCCCGGCTTCACACGGGTATACATGTATATATAAACATTCCTCTAGAATCACTCTATCTATCAAAAAAACCGCTTCAAAATCCGTTGCGTAGTTTCAAAGATATAAGCATACATAAGGACTGACAGCTACAGCGACTTTATTTTAAACAATGTAATGAAGATACAGTGTCACCGTTTGCACCTGTCCTTCGCAAAACTCTTGTCTCAAATATCTAAAACACTCCCACAAATAGATGCTGCTATACTTCCATTTATCATTATTTCAGGGCATATGCTAATTCTAGAATGTACCGGAACCTGAAACTTCGGGGCGCGATTGTGCACAACAAACAACTGCGCATGTTGCCTCTCGAGAAGGTAATGTATTCTCCCTCTATTTTATATACATAAATGGCTAATGGTGTTGGAGAAGAAGAAAGACTTAGTTGAAAAGATAAAATCTATACATATAAATAAAATTGGAGTGTCTATAATATATGTTTGTAATATTGAAATAACAGTTTTTACAATTTTTGTCTGTCTGTCTAATCTCTGAAATGGCTGCATCGATTTTGACAGGATTTTTTGGCAAGTAGCTAATGTAATAAGGAGTAACTTAGACTATTTTTATTTTAGAAAAATAAAGTTAAATTCCACGCGGACAAAGTCACGTGTTCAGCTAGTAAGAAATAAAGAGACTAAGTACCAATTCGTGCATCTACTTATCAAATCCCCCATCTACGTGCTATATAAGTTGACATTAATAGTTATAGAAATGTAAACAATTTTATAGATCAATCTCAACGAGCACAGCATCTGGAACTTGTCGACTGACTCCGGCAACCTGGGCACCATGGTGGTGACCAACGTGCGTGTGGTGTGGTACGCAGACGTCAACGACGCCTTCAACGTCTCCATGCCCTACATCACCATAGAGACCGTCAGTAATAATATATTTACTTACCTTTATAGTTCTCCAAATATTTGACGCCAAGTAATTCAAATCGAATGAAGAATTAAGAAGTGGTGAAGTGAAGTGGCAATGGGCAGGGTTCATAGGTCAAATAACAGATGGCCGTTAGGGCAATAAAGTCTTCGAGTGGCGAGTGGAACGGAAGACGCAGCATGGGAAGGCCTCCAGCAAGGTGTACCGACAATCTGGTCAAAATCTCTGGAAGGCGATGGATGCGAGCAGCGCAGGACCGATCGTCGTGGAGATCTTTGGGGGAGGCCTTTGTTCAGTAGTGAACGTCTTCCGGGCTGAGAAGATGATGATGATGATGAATTCAGATCATAGAGTAAATTATGATGCAAAAAACCCCATGCTGTAGTCTCGTGAGAAAACTTCGGCAGGAAGTTCATTCCACAATCTAAGTGTACGCGGGAGGAAGCTCCTCTGAAACCGCACTGTCCGAGACCACTTAGGTTCCAGCGTGTGGGGATGAATTCCCTGTCGATGGCGAGCGGTGCGATGGTAAAAGGTGGCCGTAGGCATCATGTCGAACAATTCCTCAGAACACAGTCCGTTGTATAATAGGTAAAACACACAAAGCGAAGCGAAGTCTTGCCTCAAGCTAAGTGGTTCGATACCGCCAGATTGGGATCATCCACAATTCTCATAGCACGTCTCTGAACCAAGTCAAAAGGACCGAGCTGGTATCGGTATGGTATATATAGGAGCTCGTGCCCAAAGATGATATAATAATAATAATAATAATTTTTATTTCAGACAACTCCATGTGTTAGTAACAGCCAAACCTGTGACTTATATAAGAGAAGTCTCTGGTCCGCAGTAAAGTAGCGCCTCGGTCTATGGCGCGCCGAGATTTTTGGACCTTTTCTTCCAGGTGACTACGGAACTCAATTACTGAATAACAAACATATATAGAATTGTCCGCAAATTTTTGTCTTCCGTTTAAAAAATCTCCATTCTCATCATTGTAGTTGTCATTGTTTGGTGACTTTTAGCCGCAATGACAAGGCCCATCACCCCATCAAAGGGAACATATTATATATATAAATAATACTACTTACCTTTATACTTCTCCAAACACCTGTAGAATTGTCCTCAAATTTATGCTTTCCGTATAAACCTCTTATTTGTTTGATTGTAATACTTTATCATTGATGTGGTGATATAATTTTTGTCATTTCATTATTTAATTTTTATTAAAGAAATGAACTATTCTTTATCTGCCGTTTCCTTCTGAAGGTTGTCGCTAATCCCGAAAAATAATAATTTACATGAATAAATATAAACTGATTTCAGTACATCAATATAATGAATATTTTCGTAGATATCAGTTCGTGACTCAAAATTCGGTGAAGCACTAGTGTTCGTCATTCGGCAGTTTTCTGGAGGTTACGTGTTGGGCTTCAGAGCAGACCCTCCTGACAGGCTTCGACCACTGTTGGCAGAACTGCAGGCTTTGCACCAAGCGTACACCGAAAGACCTATATTTGGACTTGAGATAACTTGGGACCATGAGGTGAATAAATCATTTCAGCATTTGTCATTATACTTATTTAAGAATAGAGTTATTTTCTATTAAGCTGTACACACGGATGTACATGTATTATATATATAAACCTTCCTCTTGATTCACTCTATGTATTGCTAAAAACTACATAAAATTTGCGTAAAATCCATTGTGTAGTAAGAATTATTTAAGAGAACTAAGAAATGATGATGATGGTGATGATGATTATGAAGTCAACAGACAGTGGAAGTTACTTCATTTTATACTATGTTAAGTTTGTATAAAATAAATTATTGTTCAGTGAGCTAATTATGTAACACTATATGAAATCGTTGCTGTTGAAGTTGTGATGCAATACAAAATCCTATAAATTACGATAATGTAAGATCTTCTTCTTCTTCTTCATCCTTGCCTCTTCCCGTTACTCGGGGTCGGCTTTTCTAATCCTGGGGCGCCATACATTTCGCTGGCAAGCATCGTCATTTGACAGGCCCAACTCCTTCATGTCCCTATGGACATTTGTCAACCAGGTAGTTGGTGGCCTGCCTCGTCCTCTTTTTGTTGTAGCCATGGAAAGGCACTTTCTCACAATGTGGTTTTCAGGTTTACGCAGAAATGAAACGATAATGTAAGATTGATTTTTTTTAATATTTATTCTTGATACACATTTACATTTTAATTTACTGTAGTTCTACACTAGGCTCGCAGGCCTGTATTGTAGAGACTGGCTAGAGTGACTTATTATTGTGTACATTATACATGTTTACCTTTTGTATTAATAGCTATTTGAAAAATGGAACTTGTGTGTAAAATGTAGGGAATAAATTTGTGTAAAAATTGAGGATCGAAAAGGTATGAGCATTGGTGTGAATGACAGTGTGTATGTATGAATATGTGTGTGTGAGTGTGTTCATTTTGCAGAACTGTGTGTTAGCCGTAAGGTAGAAGTATTTGTTCTGTTTCGAATGAAAGCAACATAAATCATTTCTATCGATAAAACACTGACCACTTCTCACCAATTTCATTGCTTATAATTTTTTATACGGTAAAACTGGTTACCTTATAAATAATACAACATAAAATAAAACCAAATTGATAACCCTTCATACAAATTATTAACAATTTCAGATCCCGAAATCGACAACAGATGATATAGAAGAATTAGAAGAAATCGGCGAACCTCGCGGTGAGATGGGGCCAAATCTATATTTGGCATCGCAACTTGCTCAGACCAAACCAGAAGGAGATATTCAACTCGTGTATAATCCATATTTGGGTTTAGCTATAGAACCTTTAAAAGAAGGGTTCACATTAAAGAGCTTATTCGAAGTTCAAACTACGTCGTAATATAATAATTGATATTATATTACGACGTAGTTTGACCGGAAATATTAAAAAAAAAATTATGTTCCTGTTTTTTTTTATGATAATGAAATGGTGCACCCGCCTGCGCTAACGGTTTACGCTGGCAGGGCACCAGTGGAGGATGATAAGATGAGCATGAGGTTCAGGTCAGTTAGCCCATCGTGACAAATTCACCAAGAATTTATCAGGATGGTTTCCAGGGGGAACCGCGTGGAGTTCAACCTGATGGTACATTGCTAGCAATAAGATAATCAATCCACATTACTAAATACCCTTTATGTGCCTGTTATCTGTATATAATACGAAAAATATTATGAATGAAATAAATTTTGTTATTAAATTAAATTTACTTAAAATTTACAATAGAGGGCTTGTTTTCATGGACGCAATTAAATTAAAATATACCGATCTAACACTGACAATAACAGTTATTCAAGAGAAGTACCATAAAGCTGATAGCCACTATGGAGGAATTAAAAAATATATGACAATTCTATAATGATAATACATTTAAAATTGGTAGAAAATAACTATATAAAAATGTGCAGAGTTTGCATCACCTCCAGAATGGAAGAACATGATTGGTAGGTGCTAAAATCGTCACAGTGGTTCATATATACAGAAGACGGTTACCACTTACCACTACGTTGGTTTATTAGCCATTTTAGTATAGTATATAAAACAAATACTGACGGCCTTGTTCTAGCGGTTTAGCACACCGCTTCACTTCCAATGGTCGCGGGTTCGATTCCTCGCACGGTGCAAGTTAATAATTGGTAGATAATAAATATATAAAAAAGTGCAAAAAGTTTGCAACAGCCACTCTTACTACTCCTTAATCCAACTCGTCGCCGCCGACTGACTGGTACTGGTTAATTTAGGTTGGGGCCGTCACCCGCTCGTTACCCCTGGAGCTGGGGGGTTTCTATGACGGATTTCCCCAAAAAAAAATTGGGGCCTTCAGACGAATTATACCGGCATCTACTCCAGAGGTAGAGGTTGAAGGGGATTGTTAGTAATGTGGACTCATGACTCCATTACTAGCAATGTACCATGTCAGATCGACCTCCACCCGGTTTCCCCTGGAAACTATCGTGATACATTCCCGGTGAATTTGTCACGTTGGGCTAACTGATCTGACCTCATGTTCATCCTATCATCCTCCACTGGTGCTGCCAGAGTTAATCGGGAGATAGCCACCATTCCATTATCATCCTTTAAAAAAAAACCCATTGGTAACAACCCCCTGGTGGCTGGATTTAAGCTTGTTTAGGGCGGATTACTTAAAAACTAACAGAAATACAATTAAACTAAAGCTAATCTAACTAAAGAAGTGTCATGTCGGCACCGACTAACTATTGATTGTTTGAGAGATGAGATGAAAGTATAAATGGCGCTTCAGAAATGTCAGTTTGTAGAATTTTCCATTACCAATTAGTCCAATCGCCAAACAACATTAAGAAACTTGTTTATAGGGATGTGATTCTATCAAAAAAAACGATTAACGACTCATTGAATTAATCAGTCTGAAAAATCGAGTTCTAATATATCGATTTCTCTAAAATTGAGTTTATTTGCACTTTGTGTTTCTATTTTAATTAGGATGCCGATTTTTCTGAAATGAGTCAAATCGAATCGATTTCAAAAGAATTTTAGGAGGTTATATTTCATGACAATCGATATTTATCGAGGTTGTAGTAATTTAATTATAGAAAATCGATAGCTTTTAATATTAGTAAAAAACAAATAGCAACATACTATATCAATTCACAATATCTACAAATACAACAAAGCATAGATATTATGTATATAAGTCGTTTATACGTTATAACGTTACTATATTGTACCGAGTACAGAACTATCTCGTGTTCAGTTATTAGCTTATTATTTCCTATTTGTATATTTACTTTACTCTTTGGTTATTAATAATTCAAAATATCTTTATGGTTCTTATCAAGATAAAAAATATCTATGTTGTAGTGTGAAAAATCAATTCGCTAAATGTATTCAGTACTATAGTACGATTAAAATATCGATTATGTTTTTAGTCGAGAAATCGATTATTCGATTTATCTTTCTCAGAGTGCGTCCTTACTTGACATCAGACATGTCAATACATGTTTATTTTTAATTTCTTAAAGTTGACAATAATTTTTATGATATATTAAAAATAAATTATGAAACTAAGTTGAGGTTTATTAGTTTTACGGACATATTAGTTTTTAACTATGAATAAAGAAAACAACAGAAGTGCAGCTGGTCTGGTAAGTTACAATATTGTATATAAAACTATTTAAATAACTTATAAAATACATAAGTACTATTAGATCAACTCTAAAACATCTATTCTAGGACACAAAACAATTGATATTGATAAAACTGAAGCCTAGAATATATTATTAATAACAATTAAAACTATAATTTTGACTTTAGAATACTATTGGTAATTTATGGTCATTTAGGGTCTTGTTTCCACATTTATCAATCCATAACTATATTAATGGGAAGTTTCTGGCACTTCCTTCTCCATAGCATAGTGAGGAATTAGCCTAGAATAGCCTCCTGCCCAAATAACTTCATATCGGGTATTTTTTCTTGTCTAGCATGGGTATAGAAGACTATATACCCATAGTCCTCCCAACAACATCCACAAATTAAAAAATAGTGATCATAGATATATTTTTTTATTTTCTCATATTCGTCCATCTCCTTTTCAATGATGGAACAGGCAAAGATCCTTAGACCGTACAGCCATGATCATAGATACATTTTTCTGAATCAATCCATAGAGAATGTGTTCATAGAAGTAGAGATCAATATTTAAATATAGAATTCAGGTTTTCTGTGGTGTATAGTATTATTGTTAAATGATAAGCAAATAGTTAACCTTACTCATAATGTGTCAGTTTTATTATTTAATTAATTCAAAATAAATAAATTTCATCATAAATAGATTAAAATATAATTTAAAAAATATTATTACAATTAATTATGCCATTAGTAATTTATTATCAATTATTAACACCTTTTTGCAGCGACGCTCAGCAATTGCTGAAAGAATTCGCTTAAGAGAAGAATGGTCAGCTCTCAAAGGAACAGATAATGCAACAACATCAAAAAAGAAGAAACAAACCGTCATAAATGTATTGTCCAGTAAGAGTACAGCTAGTAGAAGAAAGATCTTAACGAATTCACAGAAGGATGACAATGAAGTAAGATGTTATATTATAATAATGCTTACTTGATTGACGATTGTGCATGGCAATAGTTGTTCATGCATGGGATTTTCATTTAATGTTAGACATAGATACTTATATAAATATAAATAGTAAACATACTGGCTTATAAAAAAAATAGTCAATTGAGTTTCTTGCCAGTTCTTCTCAATTGGATCTATATACTGAACTAGACGGTACGGAAAAAAATTTACATTCATAAGCGGCTAAAATGTCCTACATGAATAAATTATATTTGAATTTGATAGTAATATCTTTTATTCATGTAATTGTGAGGATAAACTTTAACTATCACCTATATACATAAACAGTACTATGTACATCACATTATCTTGTGACAGCCATGTTACCACTATTCCAGATGACTAAGATGACCTCTTATACTGTAATCCTGCCTAATCTATACCCTACAACCAAAATAGCTTACTAAGCAAGCTGCTTGGAGGTTAATATGTGACTGACATAGCTATGGACTTTAAAAAGTCTAATCTGGCCATAGACAATATTTTACCAGAATACATAAAATGTTGTTTATGGCCATATCAGTGAAATATAATGTTTGTGGGCCTGTCTTTGACACAAATTCCTACCATAAATTGCAATAGAAGGAAATTTGAAATCATAATTTCTTGGAGATAAAAAAATAAATCACTAATCCTTCCAATTATCGTAATACCCACGTTAATAGATTTAACGCTTTTGTTTACAGAATTTTATGAAAGAAATGAAGGCTACGAGTGAAGTATTGCATGGTGTTGTTGCGTTAGTAGAAGTAGGAGCAGAGAACAGAGCTCTAGCTCTGCGTGCTGCACTGGCAGCGTTAGGAGCCACTGTGGTGCCGAGCTGGACTCCCATCGTCACTCACCTTGTATGGTCCCAAGGTACGATTTGATGGAGATGTTCAGTGATCCACTGATATACAGCAGTGAATATAATTTATTGATCTCATTACACGTACACTTAAGACTTGACTTGTACTTGTCAACAACTATACTAATTTCAAATGTTATATTTGATGGACATATTCAGTGGATGTACAGCACTGAATATAATTTATTAAATACATCACAGTGTACTTAAGACATAATTGATACTTAACAACAACTATACTATATACTATTTTGAATTTCATTAGAAATTTATTATAACATTAATTTTAAATATTACATATAAATTAATTAAAACATTTGTAGTTTTGTGATTATTATTTGTATTCTGGGTGTTTTATCCATTTACTGTCGAAATAATTCTAAATCGCCGTAATATCCTGTTTTGATGTAATAGATACAGGGTCTATCATTACATAGTATAAAACAAAGTCGCTGTCGCTGTCTGTCTGTCCCTATGTACGCATAAATCTTTAAAACTACGCAACAGATTTTGAAGCGCTTTTTTTAATAGATGGAATCATTCAAGAGAAAGTTTTATATGTAAAATATATATAATGTATACCCGGGCCAATATATAAAACAACTTCCTTGGGGTTGAGTATCTAAACCTAAGCAAATCAGAAATATTATAAAAAATAAGTAAGTGCTTATATCTTATAAAATCCCGTTATTTTTAATAATTATATGTATAAATAAATCATCAAATTTAAAACAGTATATAGTATAAATTTATATTAGGCTTCTTACCATGTTTTATTTTTATTGAGTTTTGAAGGGACGATATTTTGGCATTGTTTCAACGATGATGATCGCAGGTAAACTTATCCTGATTTTACCCACTGAAACTGATTTTGTCCTTGATCATGGCGGTTGAAACACTGACAAATATCAACAATAAATGTACATATCTTGAGAAATTGGAGCAAAAAATACTAGACTTGGAACAAGCTGGAAAAAATAATATTCAAATCTACGGCAAATTACCTAATGAAAACCTGAAGTCGTTACTTCAAAAATTAGCAGAAGTCATGAAAGTGAGCGCCGATGATAAAATAAAACTTTATTCTAATAACTTAGAAACAACTAAATTAATTTTAAATATTATTACATTTTACTTTAATTCTCTAATGTTTTGATGTAATAGATACAGCAGTTTAAGTACAGGGTAACATGATAACTTTCCTGATGGCTTCACAGCGACTACACGAGTCACCTAATGTAATACCCGTGATTCCAGTTACATATTTTTTTTTGTTTAGGCGGATGCTGTAGCGCTCGGGCACGAGCTCGCGCGCTGGCGTCGCGCGTGGTGTCCCCGCTGTGGGTGGAGGCATGCGCGGTGGCGGGATAATTTGTGCGCGCGACTGCATGTTATCCGAACACGGGTTCAGTCAATGTATTAGTAACGTAACGCGACGCGAAATAATGAACAGAATCCTGTTTGGATCATATCTATACACGAATGGATAGCAATTCTATATTTTCTGCTGTAGTGCACCATAAAATTTCCGATCACTATTGTACAGCGATGGCGTGCACCAGCAGCTCTTCGCCGTCACCGTCGCCGGACGTGCCGCTCGTCACCGGTTAACCGGCGTATTATTATTGATAACCTGCCCTCACCGCGTACGCTCATTACATGGTTTAATGATAAAAATAATATGTTAAAAAGACTAAACTATACAAGATACAGAAACAAATGATAATGCTTGTATTATATTAAAAAATATGTTTTCGCTGCTTTACAACTCCGGACTCCCCCTAATATGTTACCACTTATAACTATTTTTACGAGTCCATATATTAATAATGTAAAGATAGATAGGTTTCGGTTAAAGAACGAAGAAGGAAGTGGAATTACAGAGTATGGAAGCACGAATACTTAGTCCGCCGGATTAACAATGTATGAATGATATATATAATGTATAATTTCTGTGGCTCACAGAAATTATATAAAACAACTTCCTTGAAATATATCTTATTAAAACATGTATATTGATTTTATCAATTTTTATATTCTTTTTATAAACCAAGACAATTGACACAACGCTATCTAAACCTAAGCAAATCAGAGCTTATGTTATGGATATTAAACAACTAATATAAGCACTTAATTATTTTTTTATAAATAAATACTAGCTACTCCACAGCAAACAACACCATATGACGAAAACAAGCCATATTCGCCCCCACCCCTACATCTAAATAATTATTATGGATATCGTACTTAAAATTGTGAAATATTTAATAAAATGCATATAAAATCAAAATAGATATAAATCTCTTGAATGATTCCATCTATTAAAAAATATAACATCACATAAAAAAAAAAAACTTGTCCTTATTTAATAGTATTTAATACAAATATCTGTATTTTATGTAGTTTTAAAATAATATATAAGCATGTACATTGTAAGTAGATAAGAGAGAACAGACAGACAGCGACAGCGACTTTGTTTTAATAATATGTAATGATAGATAAATAGAGATTAAACACCCAGAATACAAATATGAGTATTATACTCATAACTACAAATGTTTTAATTAATTTATCTAATAAATGTTACAGAAAAAAGCAGATATGGAAAATATACCTATAGGCAATCTACTATCGGAATCTGAGGAGAACGAACTAAAACCAGCACGATTACGACTATCTAGCGAGACAGAGCACGATACGTCGGCCGACACGTCCCGCGATAAGTCGCGAGACACGACCAAGTCTACCGATACCTCGAGAAATATTACAGGTAGAAACAACTTGTTATTGTTTACAGGAGACAGTTGCTTGACGGTGCATTCTTCCATAAAATTATAAATGGTGTCCTTGATTGCCCTGCATTGCTAGAACAAATAACTATAAACGCACCCTATAAATTACCTCGCAGTAAAAAGTACTCCTTATTTGCAAAAAAGCAATTCAGAAACAATTTGGGACTTCTCCACCATTAATAGACTAGAAAATAACTATAATATTGTAGCGAAGAGTTCGGATATTGACATGTTTTCTGTTTTCTCCAAGTTCAAGTCAACCATTCAAGATCACATATTGAGACAAAAGTCAAACCCGTTTCATTAACACAGTTAAAATTAAAACTTTAATATTTATACACATATAAATATATAAATATAATATATATAAAAAAAAAATTGTATACATATATATATATATAAACTTCTGTAAACAATATCGCATGCCGTAGCAACCAGTAATTAAGTCAACACTATATACCTGAACTCTTTGCAAGTTATAATAATTGTAACCTCATGGTGTATGTCTTGTTGGTCGCTCAAAAAAAAAAAAAGAAAATTTCATTTGTTAAGTTCAAATTTTTCAACTGTGGATATGAATGAAATTTTATATGAAGATGACCGGCATCATGAGAACATTGGTTTTTATTTTAATAAAATCATAGAAAGTAGCGACGTATCCATAAATTCAACACGGAAGCCTGGTCCATCTTGTGGTAGAGAGTGAAACTCCGAGCAGTTCCCGGGGCTTGTAATCCTGGTGTCAGTTTAAGGGGTCTCTTTGGCGACGTATGTGAACACTCATCTTCACCGCTCGCGAGAAACACGAGGTCCAGACACCAGACAAATCTGGTAGGACCCTGCTAGTATAGCTTTAGAACACGTTCTAGAATAGAACTTACTGTACTTCTAGGCACGATATTTTAGAAGATTGTAGAGATTTCACTGGTATACCTCTCGCTCCCACTTTGACCACATATAAATAAGACGAATTTCTTAGCATTCCTATACGGTACGTTACTGTACAGCCAACAGTATTTTGCACTGCTCCGAGCCCATATAACGCCCACATACCATTTTCCCGTCATTACGCCAAATACTCCCAACAAGCATCAGTCCACACTCAATCATCGTGTACTCAATAAATCAAGTTGGAAGGCAGCCCGGACTTATCATTTAAAAGAAAAAGAAAAGAAAAGAAAATTGTTTATTTGGTACACTGAAAATAATTTTTAAAATTTAATTTACATTTTATATTAATAATTAAAGTACCAACTAGGTCTCCGCTCAGCATATGTCGTGACGGGGTGCCACGACGCTGGTTTTCAGCGGACACCTTCATATACAATAAACATAATAAAATAATAATAATAATAATACACATACATACATAAATCCAGGCGGACAACACAAAGCAAACATTTACGACATACTACCATATATAAATAAACATCAAACATAAACTACACACTGAAAACATAAAATAAACATAAATTCTGGAGACACTAGTATTACCCTGCATTACCCCGCTTCTGGAGTGCAGACACATCACGGCACAGTTTTCTGAGTGAGGAGGAGTATTTTTTTAAATTTATATTTAAAAATCTGCACAGTTATTTATACATCATAGCATCCAGATTGTGTGAGTCAGAGTAGACTCATACAATCCCGTTACCAAAATTTCAAGATCTTTAAGATACCCCTTTTCCAACACTCACCACTCGTCAACACTCACCTTCACTGTTCGTGTTTCTCTACCAGACAAATCTGGTAAGAGCCTGCTAGAGCAGCCTTAAATACACGTTCTTTTATAGAACCTACTGCCGTTCTAGAAGATTGTAGAAACTTCGCTGGTATACCTCTCGCTTCCACTTTGACCACATGTAAATGAGCCGCACTTTTTAGCTTTCCATTTCAAAGATTCCAAGATCTTCAAGCCCCTTTGCCGTCGTACATCAACACTTATCTTCGTCGCTTCTATTTCTATCTCTGCCATAAATATATTACTACAGTTCTAAACAGGCCCTATTTTAGAGGATTGTAAAGAAATATCGAGATGTTAACGGGTATTTTAGTATAACAATTATAATTCAGAGCTAGCTCCCGTAGGTACAATTGTAAACGACTATGTAAAAAAATTCAAATTGTCTTATATACATACAAACATTGTTCAATTCTCTTTCTAGATGTAGAGTCACGTGTGAATACAGCACCTCGTAGAGCCGTGCCCAAATCTATGAGCACACCGCGACCACGCAAGTCCAAGAGGAAGCTGTTCACGCAACGGGATGCTGATATCACCAAAGATACAGATGAATCTGGTAAAATGAGACGGCCTGACAATGTTATCTGATTGAATAAAGATTGAGTGCGTAGCGGTTGCTATGTTGATTGCCGCATGCCTAATCCTTATTAATGCAAATCTACTTAAAACAACAGTTATTTTAAAGAGCAACACGCAAATTTCTTGCTCATTCGTCTTGTGATGAGTATGCGCTCCGAATGTGTGGTAGAATAAAAGAAAATGTGACTTCAAAATGCTTATATTAAGTTTATTTGAATAAAGCTTATATCTATTTGCTCGGTACCGTTTTGCTTCCGATGGTCGCGGATATAATTCCTCACAAGATACAAATATTTGTATTTATGAGTGTAGTTTTTTGTATTAGTCTGGGTGTTTTCTATGTATATTATGTGTGTGTATACAAAAAAATGTATCTATGTATTTATATCAGTTAATACAAACTCTGCTTAACTTGGGATTAGATATATTTGAATCTAAGACTTATCTACTATGAATTCCAGATCAAGACAAAACGCCGGTTGGCCCGAAACACGTGAATTTGCCCCAATTGACACATAAGGAGCGGAGAGACTTGGCTCGAGCAGAACGCATGGCGCGACGACTAGTATCCGCATGTATGCCGGCCACCACGCAGAAAGTTGCACAGAAGTCGCTCACTCCGAGAATTGTAAGTATCATCATCATTGTCGTCATCATCATCATCATCATCATCATCATCCATATTCATAATATTAATACTAGATTTAAAGATATACTTGTTATTCCTTAGTATAGTTTAGAAAAAGTCGTTAGGTATTTTATAGAACTGGGCATACAATTTTACAATAAGATACCGAAGGATATACTAGAATTACCTTTAAATAAACTTGAAACATCTGTTAAATCAGATTTCTTCAGCAATGCCTAGTTATTCCTTTCTAAATTATTACTTAAATGACAGATGTGCATGGCAATAATTGTGAAAATGGCATTTTAACCTCTTATGAATATCAAGCTTGTTCTATTAATATTTTTCTCTACCATCCAGTTCATTGTACAGATTCAATTGAGAACTGACAAGAAATTCAATTGAATTTCTTTTTTTAAAGCCAGTTTATTTACGTATATAGGCGTCTACTCAACTGAGTTTCATTTTTTTTATGCCAGTTTACTTACATATATTGTATACTCATGTAGGTGTCTATGTCTAACATTAAATCAAATACCCGTTCAAGAACACCTATATCATACAATACCATCCTGATCATCTGGATGAATGGCGGTCTTCCACAGTGCGGTTTTCTAGAAACTGTTTGCCGCGCACAACCACATTGTGGAATCACTTTCCAGCAATGGTATTTCTGAACCGATACGATATTGAAACCTTCAAGAAAAGAGCTTATTCCTTTTTAAAAGGCCGACAACGTACTTGCGATTCGCCTGGTGTTGCGGGTGCTCATGAGCGGCGGTAATCACTTACCATCAGGTGAGCCGCATGCTCGTTTGTCCTCTGTGTTATAAAAAAAAAAACTATTGTCATCCACGTTTCTCACTTTTTAAGTTAATGATTAAATAAAATAAAAATATTGCAAATCCAACAAAGTGAGGCTGAATAAATATCGTTTATTTCTTTTGATTCCAGGTATTAACGGGCATGGACCGCACTGAACGGCACACGATACACGAAGCAATACGTGCTCTAAACGGCCGCGTACAGTCAAGCGTCAACAAGCGGACCACACACGTACTACTCGGCTCATTCCGTGCTAACAACGAACAATGCACCGGAGTGATGCTGAAACAGTTACCTGGAAATAAAAGTAAAAATAACGATGTAACAGTAACGAGTGATAAAAATACTAGTGTTGTAACAGTGAATCTATTAACGGGATGTATTGGTAATAAAAAAGCGCGTACGTTTAACGCTTTGGCTGGAGCAGCGCGCGGAGCTAGAGTTTTGTACGCGCAGTGGGTGATAGATTCGTTGGAAGCGAAGCATTGGTTACATCATTACGGATATGAAGTGCCACATTTGAAGAAAATCTCACTGGTAATCATTCAAATTATTGTTTTTACTATACTACATCTTAATGTTAATAATATTATAAACGCCAATAGGATAATATTTTAAGAAAGATGTTACAAATGAATGTGGATGGTTATAAGGGCAGAGGAAGGCCAAAAAAGAGATGGATGGACTGTGTGAAAGATGATATGGTAAGAAAGGAAGTAAATAACGAGATGACTGCGACCAGGGATGAATGGAAGCGAAAAACATATTACGCCGACCCCAAATAAATGGGATAAGGATGAAGCAGATGATGATGATGAAACGCGAAAGTTTGTAAGTATGGATGGATGTTTGTTACTCTTTCACGCAAAAACTACTGAACGGATTGTCATGAAACTTAACAGTAATACAGCATTATTATCAGAATAATACATAGGTTGTAATTTGAAGAGATATTATGTAAATTGGACGAAATATAATGATAAATGTCATGGAAGTGTGATCCAGACGAAGTTATACGGGTCAAAGATGAAGGTCAGCTAGTATAGTTGTTAGGTGTATATACGGCCTCCTCACCGATTACGATTTTATAATAGTTTAGTTGTCAAATACTGATTGACATTATTGTAGAAAATTATATAAAGACAATACAATTCTTCTTCTGCAAACGTACATATTATTTATTATTTATCATCTCACATACCATCTCAACACAAAAGAACCCCACCACAACAATAGTATAAGACCCAGACCAGTACAAATAATCATACTCGTGGATACAAATGTATTCATGAGTGTGAGTTTATATTGGTCGATCGATCGAATGTTCCATCCTCAATTGCGACGAATCATTGCCTCGATCATTCGTTGAAATTTCTATGAATTTTCGTTAATTATATTACAGAAAGCACGTGTCGAACGCACCGCTCTCGGAAAAAGCAATTCTGAATACTCATACGACATTTTTAGTGGAATGCGGGTATTATTAAAAACGAACGCAGAGCAGAGAGATGCAGCGAAACAACTCCTAGAACTGTGCGGGGCAGTTGTTCAAGATGGCGGATCGACACAAAATGGCGGGAATTTTGACATAACAGTGGGCGCGGGAGGCGGTGAAGTTTGTTCCAAGTGGGTGTTTGATAGTGTTGCGTCGGCGAGAATGAGGACTGTAAGGCGATATGTGATAAATGAATTGAGCGGTAGAAGTGTGGCGACATTAGAAACAATAGTTATTAGCTGATATTGTAAGGCGGGTATAGTAAACAAAGTAGGTTGCGACCACAGAGCAATTAAAACGGCTGGGGTTTAGCACATTGCCTTACTTCCTATGATTTGTCATGATATATTTGTATTCATGAGTGTGATTGTATCGATCAGGCTGTTTTCTATGTATATTATGTATTTACAGAAAATAACCTATGTATTTATACATAGTCTAGTACCCATAACACAAACTCTGTTTAACTTGGGACTAGATAACGCTGTGTGAATTGTCCTAAGATATTTATATATACTTTTTATGACATTGTTTTTCTTATTCATTATATTTGTACCGCCTACAATTTTTCTCTGCACAACCTGTGGTTGACTATTAGCATATGTGACTGCCATAAGACGTTAAGTCCGCCATATATACTTTTACCTTGGTATTTTGTGCATTAAAGTTATAGAAATAAATAAGTTATTATTAATACTATGTTTTATGAAATTAAATCTAAAAATGAAACACATACATTTTCTCACTAGGATTGTTTTAATTTAAATGAGCTTGTACATAACAAAAACTTTCAAAATAATAGCGAATATGCTAAAAGAAATATATATTGATACACAGATTTAGAATACCATAAAGAATTTTCCCTGTATTTTGAACTATCTGTGATGCTATTCGTATCTGTAGTCAGCAATGTCAATCAGATGAATTGTCATTTTGATTATAGACTTGAATTTATTTGGTAAATACTATGATAAATTACAATTTTGGTGGAATAAACAAAAGTACGTTAGATCGATCGAATAGATGCCTTTTTACGTTCTTTCAGAAGTGTGCCTGATCCGCCTACAAGTATCTCTACACTCCCTACGGTTGGCTGGTAGAGAATGCTATTAGCATTAAGCCCGCCTATTGTATAAAATTTCAATAAAGTTTAATCTTCTCTTTCACGTGATTGGTCATGTATTTTGTGGATGCATTTTCTTTTTATGTTCCGCCATTTTGCTGTGATAATTATTTATTTGAATACACGCGAAAGCATCCACGATCGAAACAAACAAGAATCTCCTTGCCATGAATCTCCGAATGAATGGTAGAATAAAAAATACGACTATTCAAATATGCTTGTATTGAGTTTGTTTGAACAAAGATTATGTCTCAATTTAATAAATATTTCATATATGTATTTATTTAAGAAAGATAATTTACATGAATACTATCGCTGACTTTAGATCTTAATTCCCTACCTTATTTTTTATTGATCTTATTGATTTACTTTGTCTTTAATAAAGCTTGTTTTTTTATTAGGACTATACACTTTAAATTATGAAATGTTTTTTAATGTTTTATTTACATGTATTGTTAATAAATATATTGTGATATATTATTGTTGTTGTTTTTTCTGCCGCAAACCCAGAATATAGGTACTAGACCTATATTCTGGGTTTGTAATGTGAAACCTGTAATTTTTTTCTTATGCATGGTAATGGAATACTGCATTCGTCTGCGCTAACGGTAACGCTGGCGAAGCACCAGTGAAGGATGATAAGATGAGCATGAGGTTAGGTCAGTTAGCCCATCGTGGTAAATTCACCATGAATTTACCACGATGGTTTCCAGGAGGAAACATGTGGATGTCAACCTGATATGGTACATTGCTAGCAATGTGATCTACAGTCCACATTACTAACAATCCCCTTTCCACCGAAAGAGAGAATAGAATAGAATAGAAAATCATTTATTCAAATAAACTTAATTTAAGCACTTTTGAATAGTCATAACAATTTGTTTTTTATCTACCACTCGTTCGGAAAGCTGTCTCATCACAAGAAGAAAGAGCAAGGAACTTGTGTGATGCTCTTTTAAATAATCCTTGTAAGTTTACATTTACAAGTCGAAACGTGTGAATACAAACTACCAACAAGCACAAATTTTTTGGGTCAAATATAAATATTATATTATATATAAGATTAAATCAGTCGTAGTGATAAGAGCAGACCAGCCCCTACAAGTAGCACTCGTTCACGAGTATGACGGATGAGCCAGCCATCACTGCGCTCGACCATATATTAGGGAGCCCAATGACCCGGCCCACCAGGCCGCCACATGTCTGGATATGAGAGAGGTTGAGCGTGTGTGAGTGTGATCATATTATCTGATTTTTGTAGTTTTTTTAATTGTCACTTCCTTTGTGGCGACATCCTTTCGGCCTTTTTTTGATTTTGGTAGAGTTCAAATGATTTACCTAAGTTGGACTAAAAATAATAGTGTAATAATACTTTTTCTATGTAAATATTGTATCCATAAGGTTTGATGACTGCTAAATAATGCATGCAAGCGACGATAGCTGCGTATGGGTGTGCCTTTGTCTCCCAACTAGGGCGTAACACATGTATTGTTGTGTCACGCTATATTTATGTCACAAGTATGTACCGTCACGTAATACGTCACCGATTCGATAAACTTTTATAATTTTTCCTTTGCCTTTACAATTTTCCTAATAATAAAAAAATGTCTTTTGGATCTGCTATATATTTTTTACTAATTCGAATGATAAGCTAACCTGCTAACCACAGTGGTATATCTAGTGAACTATATCCGGACTAAGACTAAACTAAACCAGAGGGTGATGCAGCTGGAATCGAGTTACAACGAGAGCTTCAAATAAAATAAGGGCGAATCAAAAAAATCTAAATATCTTTATTCTTAGGGCTATTACAGACTCATGATATGTCAAAGTCTACCGTAAGTTCGGAGTGATTTCGACATGAGAAGAATGACGAGAAACTCAGCTCGTATTCTTTTCAACTAAGGTTGTACATGTTTACAATAATACAGTTTCACATTTAAATTCAAATTTTGGAGAATAGAATAGAGTGACCTAGCAATTTTATCAAAATCAAATAGTTCAATCAATGCCGAATAGACCAGTCCCCACAAGCAGCAAAAACAATATATTTAATAACATAAAATAATATTAAACTACCTTAAATATATAAATAATTACCTACAACCAGAGATATAAACAGTCTTTTAAAATGGACACAAGGAAGTAGCACAAAGCTTAACTAATACTTGCGTAATATATACAAGTTAATGAGGAATTAATGACTTAGGTATGGCAACATTATCAATTATAAATAGGCCATATAAGTACATATGTACTCGCGTGAAGTAACAGCAGATGTTTTCCAGAATCTCCGGACCCATATGTGAAGTGAGGGAAAAATATTATTTATAATTATCTACGTCATAAATATTATTATATACATGTGTGACGAAGTTGAGGCGCCTATATGACAGGATTGGTCCGTTTTAACCAGCACCTCCAAGTCTGGTTGCCTCACCCATCTGTCCACTGTTCCATTCCAATGAGAAGCTAAATTATAAGACCCTAATCCGAAGTTCAAACCCTTAACATTGTTATCCAAATTTGACGGTAGAAAAGGTGGAGACAGAAAGGGAAAGGGGTATTGTTAGTAATGTGGACAGATTTTTTTTTTATAACACAGGGGACAAACGAGCATGCGGCTCACCTGATGGTAAGTGATTACCGCCGCCCATGAGCACCCGCAACACCAGAGGAATTGCAAGTACGTTGTCGGCCTTTTAAAAAGGAATAAGCTCTTTTCTTGAAGGTTTCAATATCGTATCGGTTCGGAAATACCATTGCTGGAAGGTGATTCCACAAAGTGGTTGTGCGTGGCAAAAAGTTTCTAGAAAACCGCACTGTGGAAGACCGCCATTCATTCAGATGATCAGGATGGTATTTCAGTTTCTGGCGGGTGGTACGGTGGTGAAACTCAGCAGCTGGTATTATCTTATTGCTAGCAATGTACCATGTCAAGTTGACCTCAACGCGGTTTCCCTTGGAAACTGTCATGATAAATTCGTGGTGAACCTGATATGGTACATTGCTAGCTATGGGGTTATTAGTCCACATTACTAATAATCCCTTCCCCAAATCATATACGTTCTACAGCTGCGAGATTGTTTGATGACACCATTATTAGCAATGTACCATATTGGTGTGTCAAAGATGGGTCTGAATATGGTTCCTACGTGAGCTGATCGTGGCGATGATGACTTAGTCATGGCACAAAAGTAGAGAATCAACCAGAACCACTGCGGCACTGTACTCACTGGGCCCAACTTCCTGTTCCGTGCTGCTACACCGACCACGGTAATATACCTGTCCCGCCTACACTACGCCACTAAAGAGCAAGGCATTCTCAACTACATATGGATCAAAGTAACCTTACATTGAGGGTGACGCAGCTGGAATCGAGTCATAACGCTAGTTTCAAGGCGTTTAGTCCCGAGTCTTCACCAACATGCTGACCACCTTCTTGAAGGAAGATTACTGACCGAATGGGATGGTATATCGGCGCTACCATGGCAGATTGCCGTCGTCAGAACCATGTCCACAGAGACAATTTATATTTTACATTAATTATAATGTTATTCAAATGTATGTTAGTATGTAAGGTATTTGTAATATGGGCTATTACGAGCCTGATCAACTCAAATCAAAAATATTAGGTCGACCTCCACATGGTTCCCCCTGGAAACCATTGTGATAAATTCCTAGTGAATTCACCACGATAGGCTAACTGACCTCACCTCATGCTCATCTTAAATCCGTTAGTGAATACATTTAAAAAATCCTCCCTAACGAATACGATTTCAATCAGAGGGCAAGTTAACTTAACTTTTAACTTAACTTAGGCAAGTTAACTTAACTCTAAGGGATTTAAGATGAGCATGAGGTGAGGTCAGTTAGCCTATCGTGGTGAATTCACTAGGAATTAAAGAGCTAAAAGTCAAAATAATTTATTCACATAGGACCTTCAACTTCTTATCATATTCTTTGTTATTATTTTTTTAACTAAGGATACCTAATAGTTCACACGCCCTCGCAAACGGTTTACGCTGTTGGGGAACCTGTAAAATGTATCTATGTATTTATATCAATTGTCTAGTGTCTATTAGTAACCATAATACAAGCTGTACTAGGGAGAATGGAATTATTAGTAATGTGGACTCATGACCCCATTGCTAGCAATGTACCATGTCATGTTGACCTCCACGCGGTTCCCCCTGGAAACTATCGTGATAAATTCCTGGTGAACTTGTCACGATGGGCTAACTGACCTGACCTCGTGCTCATCTTATCATCCTCCACTGGTGCTCCGCCAGCGTAAAGCGCAGGCGGACGCTCCATTCCAATATCATCCATAAAAAAAATACAAGCTGTACTTAGCATAGGACTAGATGGCGCTGTGTGAATGGTCCTGAGATATTAAAAACAAACAGTTTATGGTAATCCCGTTTTCTGGCAGCTAAGCATGGTTATATATTTGTCATGCAAAATAATC